AACGGGAAGGGCTAGGAAGGTGTCAGCAGGGCATTGAAGCAGTTTGTTGTCAGAGGTAGGACTGTCACCGGCACACCTGAGGCTCTGTCCCCATGCTTGACGACTTTTCCAGTTCACTCGTTCGTTACTCTGTTTCTCCCGTTCCTGGTGTCAGTGCACGGGCTCTCCTTAGTTTCTCCTAGTCACACATGGAATTTCCTAGGCACGTGGAGTCTGCATTTGCCTGGTGGTAACAGTTTTCTGGGGATCCTGACTCCAGAATGAGGAGTCATTTTCTGTTATCTGTTCCATGATACTTGGTGCCCCACTTGTTTTCACATTGCCCTTCAGGAGCTCTGGGCTTCTGGCAGAGCAGGGAGCGTCCACGGTCGGATAATTCATGGTACTGATGTGCCATTTAGCAGTGGGCCACAGGCCTGCTCTTCTGCTTGGTCGGGCCACTCGGGACACCAAGCAGTAAGTTGCCTGGTTGTGCCAGGACATACCTGTGTTACTCACGAGAGTTACCCTTATCCACACTGGATATTTGGGGTCTGGGCGAGCAGTATGTATTTCAGCATCATAGTCTCAGAGGACAGTGGTGGAGAAATAGTTCTTTTATTATTATTTCAGGGTGTATTGAGACCATGCCAGTCCTTTGTGTGGCAGTAGGTTCTGGGATTTGTTTTTTTCCTTCCAGATGCCCTATCCCCTTAAATACACTAATGCACATCATAGAGCATTGCCAAGTAGCTTGCCTGACACAGCTACCAGTTCCTTTAGGTGGTCGTTAAAGTGCCGAGGGAAAGTCTGGGTTGGAAACCAACCTGATGAGGGTCACAGGTGGCCTGGAAGTGGTTGAGTTGGCAAAGGTTTACTTTCGAGAGGGAAAAAGCATTGGCTGAGGTGAAGCAGAGATGGGAGAGGCGTGAGCGCTGTGCAGGCACAGGCCCCGGAGGAGCCAAGTTTGGGAGTTGGGGTGTCTGCACAGGCAGCAGGGAGAGGCCATGTTGCTGGCACTGACTCGGAACGTTCTTCAGATGTGGTTTGAGCAGTAAGCGCTGTGAGTGTGCTCCACAGTGTGTGCTCCACAGTAAGATGAAAGTCCGGGGCAAGGATGCCGCTCACAGAGAGTCTCCCAGCATAGCCGCTCGCCGTGTGGCTCTGTCCAGGTCTTCCTAGCACTCCTTCACTTGCGTTACTGCATTTGCTCTTAGGCTTTTCCACCTGGTTGTTTTTTCTGTGTTCCTCCATATTTTTCATAGTGTTCAATGACTATAAAATATGTCAGAAAGTGACCAAACCTTAATTTACTCAACTATTCCCTTGTTGCTAGATATCAAGATAGAATGTCATCCTTAGGGAACTCTCACATGCAGTAAATATACAGTGGGGCCTTGACTTACGAGTTTAATTCGTTTCGTGACGGAGTTTGCAACTCAAATTACTCGTATGTCAAATTAGCTTTCACCATTACAATGACACGTGATGCTGGGCTGATGTAGCGTTCACTGTGATGTTCGCTGCGCCAACTAGCGGTGGGGTATCTGAAGCTGGCTCGTAACCCGAATTTGAGCTCGCAACTCAAAGCAAAAAATCGGCCGAGAGACGGCTTGTATCTCGAAAAACTCGTTAGGACACTGGTAAGTCAAGGCCCCACTGTAGATCTAAATATTTTTTTGTTTGTTTTTGTTAATCATTACCTGAGGATATTTTTTCCAAGATTATTTAGAGAGAGTGGAAGGGAGGGGGGAGACTGAGAGAAATATGGTTGTGAGAAAGGCACTTCCATTGGTTGCCTTCCTGCACTTGCCCTGACTGGGTTGGGGATAAAGCCTGCAACCTAGGTATGTGCCCTTGACTGGGAATCAAACCCATGACCCTATGGTGCACAGGCCGACACTCTAACCACTGAGAAACACCAGCCAGGACTAGGTCTAAATATTTTAAAGGCACCCTAGATGGATGCCTAAACATTGCCTCTCCCTATCAGAAGTCCCTAGCACGTTCCAGTCTTGCTGAGATACTGCTGCTTTCATTGCTTCAAGAAATAACTAGCTTTGAACTAAATTTGTATTTCTTTTTCAATCTTCAGGAAGCAGAGAAAGGTGTGAAATTCCTAACATTGCCACCAGTGTTACATCTACAACTGATGAGATTTATGTATGACCCTCAGACGGACCAAAACATCAAGATCAATGATAGGTAATCTAAGCGGGGTGTGGAGGTGTGAGTTAATTGTCACTGGAGTTTTGGGGGGAGGGGTGTTAATCTCAGTGCTTTTTTAGTCTGTATATGTATTTCAGTCTCATCTCTGATGTATTTAGGTTTCCCTTCTACCTAGGTGCCCAACAGCTTTCATTTTAAAGGAATACTTTTGCTTAAAATTGGAGCTGCTCTTGTGTATCGCCCTCTCAAGGAGCCCTAGCCACCCTGCAACGTGGCAGGTTGGAGTCTGTGAGGAGGGTGTTCCCCACTCCACAGACTCTGCAGTACCAAATGCAGCATTATATTTGTCTAAACAGGACTCTCCAATATATTGTAATATCTCAGTTGGTGTTGACTTGTAGAATGTGGTACAATTTTCAGGAATCCTGAAGTAGGTGTGCGTGTGCCTTATCCAGGTTGGTCAGCCACCCTTCAGACTTGAGGGGGAAATGTATGTAACACAGTCAGATTGCTTGCCACCAGCTGGGTTTTTGCTCATCTGCTTATCCCTTGTCGTTCTTTCCTATGGAGAATAGAAGAAATTGTCTCTACCAGACCCCACAGACTTGCAGTCTGCAGACTAAATCCAACCTGCTGGTGTGTTTTGTTGGGTCCTTACCTTGGTTTTGTTCCTATTTTTATTGGAACTCATTATACGATTTCATATAAAAGTCCATATTTCTGGCATTTAGGAATTCAGAATATTTGGCGACACTGGGCCAGAATTCCCGTGGCTCAGGTGCTGCCCTGTTGGGGTCAGTGTGCATGCTCTGCCTCGGGCCCCAGCTGCCCAGTTCACTTCCTTCCTGCCTCTGACAGCACTCCCAATTACCATTTAATTTAAAAGCTATGGAGCCAATAATCGGAAAATAAGTAGAGTCCAGGGTATTTTTAAAAATCATAGGGTGGGGTTCTTTTTTACACGTCCTCCAGTTTTGATTTCCCCACATTTCTCAGCCTGCAGGATACCCTTAGTGGTCCCAGTCCTGCACTGTCAGAATCACTCATTAACACACACGCAGAATTATTTCCATCCTAGAAAAGTCACTGTGTACATTTATCACAAGACTCACTGTTGTGTTGTACCCTTGGATTGAACATTCTGTTAGGTATGTCAGTGCTTTATAGCCATTTTTCTCACATCTAGCTTCAGATTTTGTATTGACATATAAACAATTATTTGTTCTCATGAGTAGGAGCTGCCTCAGAAGCAGTTCATAGGGCCTCCCTAGTCAGATTCTTACTTCCCTTTCCAAATAAAGATGAGCAAGTCATTTAGAAGGTCTAGCAATAAATAAAGCCTAGGAGAGAAATGTTTTACGTGTAAATGAAACCTGGATTTCTTTAAAAATGTTTTTTTAATAGGTTTGAATTCCCCGAACAGTTACCGCTTGATGAATTTTTGCAAAAAACAGATCCTAAGGACCCTGCAAATTATATTCTTCACGCAGTCCTGGTTCACAGTGGAGATAATCATGGTGGACATTATGTGGTTTATCTGAACCCCAAAGGGGATGGGAAAGTAAGTGCTGGGCGGGGCCGGGTTGGGGAAGGCGGGTGGAGTTGGATGTGATTGCCTATAGGGGACTTAGTCTGACGCCAGCCCAGCCTTTCCCTGTTCCTCCTGATCGCTTGCTAGCAAACAAGCCTTCTTGGCCTCTGATTGATCTGTATGTTCTGATATGTATTAATTGCTGATACGCTAAAGTCGAATATTAAATTAGTGATCATTCTTTCTGATTGTATCTCTGTTAGTATTGAATGTCGGAACTCACAGAATTCCTTTACAACTAAAATGAGGCACTTATTTTCCACCTAGGAGTAACAACAGAATAGTTCTGTGATACCTGGGCAGGGAAAGCAGCATTGATTGCATGGTATTCCACGTGCCCTGTTGTCCACACTGTGCAGTGCTCCGTCTTTCTTGGTTCATGTGGATCTCATACATAATCTTCCCCAAGGGAGCAAGTGAGGGTCTCAGGATCTGTGTCCAGCAGCATAGGGCCTGGGAGGATGGCAAAGTAGGAGCCTGCCAGGCTCATGCTAAGGGAACCCTCACAGCATCTTTAATTGTGAGGCTGAGTACCATTTAAAATGACTTAATCCCTGATGAAGAGACTGGAACATAGCTTCGAACAGCTCTGCTTTTTTTTAAAGTCAGGCCCTTGCTGTGATAATCTATCCATAATAATAAAAGTGTAATATGCTAATTAGACTGGACAGCCGAACATCTTTCCGGACGACCTTCCAGACAAAGCCGGGGCTGCGAGGGTGAATTTTGTGCATTGGGCCTCTGGTCTATATATAAAAGCTGAAGCGACGATTACGACCAGTTGACCAAACGACCGGTTGCTATGACACGCACTGACCACCAGGGGGCAGACACTCAACACAGGAGCTGCCCCTGGTAGTGGTCAGTACGCTCCCACAGCCAACCTCCTGCGGGTCCTCCTCCCGGCCGGCCAGCCCCAGTTGCTGGCCAGACTGAGGAGCCCCACCTGTGCACGAATTGGTGCACTGGGCCTCTATCTAGTATGTCATAAGGTATAGGTGATCTGTTCTAGGAAAACCCCGAGTGAGAGCTTGTGTGCTCAGAGCGCTATCTCTCTGCTGATGTCTCGTTGCTCTCCTGTCCAGTGGTGTAAATTTGACGATGACGTGGTGTCAAGGTGTACGAAAGAAGAAGCAATTGAGCACAATTATGGGGGCCATGACGACGACCTCTCCGTCCGGCACTGCACGAACGCATACATGTTGGTTTATATCAGGGAGTCCAAGCTGAGTGAGTAGAGTGGCCTGTCGTGCTCTGCACTGTGGGGAGCTTTGTCGTCGTTTCATGAGTCATTGCTGTGGTGTGTAGGCCACGCTACAGGGACCTCAGCTGTGTCTCCTGTGCAAACCCATGCTCTGATTAATCTTCCTTGTTTACAACATCTAGAGGCAGGAGGGGTTGGGCTTGTGGGCCGTGATGTGGACTTGTGGCACCCAGTCGTTTCCCTTTACCAGATTGCTATAGCAATGATGGCATGAAACGGGGACCTTCTAAGAAGGGGAAAGGAGAACCTGGCAGAAGTGAATGAAGATGCATTTGTCCTGCAGGTGAGGTGTTACAAGCTGTCACCGACCACGACATTCCTCAGCAGCTGGTGGAACGATTACAAGAAGAGAAAAGGATTGAAGCTCAGAAGAGGAAGGAGCGGCAGGAAGCCCATCTTTACATGCAAGTGCAGGTCAGCCTCAGCCTCCTGGGGCCCTGGTGGGAAGGGGGCTGCTGAGAGCCACACTGCTCCGAGGGCTGGCATGAACCTGGGCTATTGCTGGCAGATCAGAGATTGCTCCGGGCAGCCCTTGAGTGTTATTAGCTGAGTGACTGTGTAGGCCAGTTTCCCGACCATTTGGAGTATACTATTCAGTTCAGGGTAAGGACATAGATATGAGAAGTACCAGAGCACTAATACATTAAAGTATTTATAAAAAGTATCTTACGGGGTTAGAGGAGTGAAGGCCTCAATGGAAGGGTGCGTAAGAAGGGAAGGCTCCCATCGGGAGACGAGCACAGCCCAGATGGGGTGTGGGCGGTGGCATGCCAGGCCATGGAAAGCCTGACACAGTATGGAGAAGGCAGGAGAGGTCCAGCAGGGAGGTGAACTTCAGGTGGTCCTGGTTCATGGCTCAGTAGTGATTACCTTCCTGGAAAAAGGTGCACTGTGTATTGCCCTCCTCCCTTTTTTGGTAACAGGTTGTTACTGATTTTTTTTTTTTTAGAGAGGAAAGGAGAGGGAGAGAGATAGAAACATCGATGAGAGAGAAACCTGCCACACGCCCCCTACCGGGGATTGAGCCCACAACCCTGGCATGTACCATGACCAGGAATCGAACTGGCAACCTTTTGGTGCATAGGATGACACTCAACCAACTGAGAGACACCTGCTGGGCATATCATATCTTTATATTATTTGGTGATCACCATATACATGGATTTCTAGCTGATGCTTTTAGATGAGTTAAGAATGGCTGCATGAAAATGTAGGCTTTTGTCTTTTCTAAATACATATTTGATTTCATTCTTAGTCATTTTGAAACTTTTCTCCTTGGGTCTTCTGAAGAAGCAAGACTAGTTGTTTTCAGCATTTTACTATTTGAACTTACTATTTTTTTTAAAATCCTCATCCTAGGATGTATTTATTGATATTTAGAGAGAAGAAGGGAGATAGAGATAGAGGTTGAGAGAGAGAGAGAAAAAGAGAGAGAGAGAGAGAGAAACATTGATTGGTTGCCTCTCCTATGCACCCCAACTGGGGATAGAACTCGAAACCTAGGTATATGCCCTCACCGGGAATCGAACCCATGACCTTATGGTGCTCAGGACAATGGTCCAAACAGCTGAGCCATCCTGCCAGGGCTGTTTGAACTTGTTCTTGATCAGCATGGTCTCATTGTATTTGTGTGTCAGTTGTTCTGTGTGTTTGTGCATGTTTTCAGATAGTTGCAGAGGACCAGTTTTGTGGCCACCAAGGAAATGATATGTATGATGAAGAAAAAGTCAAGTACACTGTGTTCAAAGTGCTGAAAAACTCCTCGCTTGCTGAGTTCGTCCAGAACCTCTCCCAGACCATGGTGAGTGCCAGCTGCTCTGCTGATGGTTTATTTTGACTTCCACGCGCCACCCTCCTTCATACCTGGATAAGACAGTACCTTTTGGGGTAGGTGCTGTGTGCAGGCTGCCTGAGAAGTGAGGTAACTGACCTGCACTCATTTGCTTCTGGGTGGTGCCTGTGTCTGCCCTGTGACTAATGTTTCAACTGAATCAGCAGTGAAGGAAAGTTGAATGTGAACTCGAATCTTTTCTTTTCTACCCCTTCCTGTGTTTCTTTTTCATTTTCTTTTTCCTTTTGTAAAATGGTCACTTGGGTCTTGGAATACTAGTGATCCTGAAAGCAGGGAGATCTATGATTATTTTTCTTATAGTCATAGAATGGTTACAGTGATACAGAAATAAAATATGAATTAACTTTGTTTTCATTTAATTTTTTTCCAGGGATTTCCACAAGATCAAATTCGATTATGGCCCAT